CACCCCCGCTTTAATTGAACAACTCGCAGCCAATGTTAAAATTTATAATGTCTGCGTTGAACATCGAACTTGATATGAAATCGAGAACTTCACCAATTGAATTAGCTGAGTAGATTAGACGAAAGTTGTGACATTGGATTTTGGGTGAGGTGGTTTAGTACATTCAGTAAATTGGATAATTACATTGTAGCAGTAAAATACTGTGATATTTGTTTTTACAAGACTTGACCCTGGTTTTAATTTTACGCAGACACTTGTGTTTGTGTTCCATTGGTAAACAATAATAATTAGGCCAGATGCAATTGTAAGTTTCACATTCATATGGCATTGACATAATCATGTGATATATTTAGGCCTATCTAATAAAATCAGCTTGATCGTATTATCTGCCAGATTACGTATACTCGTACCACATACTACAACAATGTCATATAAATAAGAGATCACGCACGTGTTCACATATAAGAACGAACTTTTCAAAACGCTTAGTTGGACTTAATATATACTTACTTAGTTCCGTTTGTGGATACCATGCCAGTGACCCGCACTCGTGGGTTAAATTGCAGAACATCTCACCAGGAGATATATCCGGCTTTTGACTCGGTTGATTAAATGGAAAAGCTGTTGGCCATGTTATTTCGGAAGGCATTTTTGGGAAACTTGGCAAGTTATCCAGTAAGGTATCATCAGATGAGAAATTGGTTGGTGCATATTGAACTGTATAATAAGAAAGAATCAATATGGATTATGGGTTTGCAAAACAGAGCGGTGAATAAGAAAAAGTGAAAATAACTTAGAATGACTTGAATTGGTGTTAAGTGTTATTACTTCAATTTTCTGGATTATGTTTAGGCAATTTGCCCTTTGTGTCTATGGGAACGGGATCCCCCCAAAAAGAGTATCCCCAAATCCATTGTGATTGGTTGTATTTGTCTCGTGGCAACCGCAATCGTCGTGATGACACGGTGACATCGTTATCTGATACAAATAGTGTCAGCGCCCTTTTCCCCCAGGTTGTCCATTGCCCTGCTTTGTCCTTTATTGCAGGGTAAAGGTCAACACGAGTGAGCAGAGTTCTCCTTTTTACCGTTAAACTATGCTAGTTGTATACATTGTATCGCGCATTGTGCATTTAATTAATTAAATAAATTAGTTTAATGTAGTTGGCAGTACTTACCAAAACACACGTCTCTGTCGAATGTATTCTCTAGTCCAACTCTGTAATACAATGCACAATGAGTTATTGATATTTTTTTCGTTTTGAATGATCCATATGCGTATTGAGAGTAGAAATTATAGACAATAATGTCCGTTTGATATCTATAAATTCCGTACCTGGCGATAACAAGGAGAAAGGTCAGAACTACTGGTGTTAAGAGCTCGAATCCGGAACCTATTGGCCGACGCCACTGAAGAATAAGAGAAAACGCATTACCGGTATCTGTTGAAT